AGTGCAGTGGCACAATCTTGGGTCACTGCAGCCTCCACCTCCTGGGTTCAAGCGATTCTCCTGCCTCAGCCTCCCAAGTAGCTGGGATTACAGGCATGAGCCACCATGTCTGGCTAGTCTTTATATTTTTAGTAGACATGGGGTTTCACCATGTTGGACAGGCTGGTCTCAAAACTCCTGACCTCAGGTGATCCGCCCACCTTGGCCTCCCAAAGTGCTGGGATTACAGGCGTGAGATACCACGCCCAATCTTTTGTAGTTTTTTTGAGACGGAGTCTCTCTCTGTTGCTGGGTTGGAGTGCAGTGGCGCAATCTCAGCTCACTGCAACTTCCACCTCACAGGCTAAAGCAATTCTCCTGCCTCAGCCTCCCGAGTAGCTGCATTACAGGCATGCACCACCACGCCCAGCTAATTTTTGTAATTTTAGTAGAGACAGGGTTTTGCCATGATGTCCGTTCTGGTCTTGAAATCCAGGCTTCAGGTGATCCGCCTGCCGCAGCTTTCTAAAGTTCTGGAATTACAAGCGTGAGCCACCGCACCCAACCTCAAACATTGGTTTATGAAACAAAAGAAATGTGAGGCTCATTTTACTTCATTTAAATTATGAAGGCAGTATATTTTGATACAAGTCATTGTAGATGGGATTCCAAAGCCAAAAGCACTGTCTTCCAATGTGAAGATATTAAGTAAATATGAAGATATTAAGTAAGCGAATACATACCACTCACAGGGCTGAAGGGATCTAAATGCCTTAAAAGAAGCATCCATTCCAGCAAAATCCCAAAACTTAACATCATAGTCATATCCTCCTGTCACCAAACGGGCACCTGAGGGATCCAGACCCAAAGCAGACACCTGGTTTTAAAAAAATAAAATAAAATTACTGGAGCAAAATGACATATGGTCATTTATAACCCCCATTTCTGTTCTTTAATCCCACCCCCTATGTTACAGGCCTTGAAAGCACAAACCACCAACTATTATTACTTCTGAAAAGTGGGAATGGATGGTGCCTTCTATATTATTAGACTTTGTTACTGTATTAATTCTTTTGCAATAAAGAAAAACACTTTATTTGACAATTTTGTCCCAAATCGTCAACCATGTACTCAGAATAGCTATCACTGCAATTTCATAAGATAAACTAAGTTGCCTTAGTGTACAAGTAGAAATCTTACAAATAATTACAATAATTCAGCATTTTCAATATACAACCTAAGGGAAACTTTTAAGATAGTTTAACCATAACCAGATGAAGACCATATGAATCTTAAATTACCAAAATGAGTAACACCAAGGGAGCTTTAAGGAATCTATTTAACAAAGTAGAACAAAGAATTATCTGTTCCTTATGGTCAAATGGCTCGGTATATTCACCTTAAACAATTATTTTTAAAGCTGAATGTTTAAGTGGCTAATCACATTACAATAGTACTTATATTGGTTCCATAAAATATTTGTTTTCCGCCGGGCACGGTGGCTCATGCCTGTAATCCCAGCACTTTGGGAGGCCAAGGCAGGGAGATCACTTGAGGTCAGGAGTTTAAGACTAGCCTGGCCAACATACAGAAACCCCATCTTTACTAAAAATACAAAAATTAACCGGGTGTGGAGGCACGTACCTGTAGTTCCAGCTACTATTCCAGAACCTGATGCAAAAAAAATCACTTGAACTCGGGAGGTAGAGGTTGCAGTAAGCCAAGATCGTGCCACTGCATTCCACCATGGGTGACAGAGCAAGACTCTGTCTCAAAAAAAAAAAAAAATTTGCAGGTCAGGCACCGTAGCTCACCCCTCTAATCCCAGCACTTCGGGATGTTGAGGCAGGCAGACCACCTGAGGTTGGGAGTTCGAGATCAGCCTGACCAACATGGAGAAACCCCACCTCTACTAAAAATACAAAATTAGCTAGGCATGGTGGCGCATGCCTGTAATCTCAGCTACTAGAGAGGCTGAGGTAGGAGAATTGCTTGAACTCAGGAGGCAGAGGTTGTAATGAGCTGAGATCGCGGCACTGCACTCCAACTGGGCAACAAGAGCAAAACCCTATCTCAAAAAAAAGAAAATTGCTTTCCCTGTGAACTTTCTTAGGTCTAATTACACGTCAATATCCAATGTGTAACTCATTGTTCCTGAGATATATGTAGCTTTCTCTCAAAGCAGAAAGTCCCTAGACCTACTGCCCTCTCAGAAGAAAAGAACTGCATTAGGAATATTTAATGTGATTACCATACATTGGACGCAGTAATGTTTTTTGTTTTGTTTTGTTTTGAGACAGAATCTCACTCTGTCATCCAGGCTGGAGTGCAGTGGTGCAATCTCGGCTCACTGCAGCTTCTGTCTCCTGGGATCAAGCAATTCTCCTGCCTCAGCCTCCTAAGTAGCTGGGATGACAGGCACGCGCCACTACACCCAGCTAATTTCTGTATTTTTTAGTAGAGATGGGGTTTCACTTGTTGACCAGGCTGGTCTCAAACTCCTGACACCTCAGGTGATCTGCCCACCTCAGCCTCGCAAAGTGCTGGGATCAGAGGTGTGAGCCACGGCGCCTGGCCAAAGTTTTATATAAAGGAAGCTTCTGTAAATCAGTTCTCCTAATAAATAGACTTGAAATGTAATTAATATAATTATAATTAAATAAGTCAGATACTGACAAAATAACTTATGTTCATTTCAATTAGCACTTGCAAACACTGATTTCATAATATAAGGTAAACTTACTATGGTTAAAATTAGACATGAACTCCAAAGATGTTAAAGAAAATATACAAGTGAAAACAAAGTCATTTTTTATGCCCAAACAATAATGTCTTAAAACAAAAAACAATCAAAATCAAAAATAAATGAATAGTAGTTTTAAAAACCTAGGAAGTGGCTTCTGCTACCACCACCTACAAATTCACTTGCCTCTATGTGCATTATGCTATCTTTCTTCCCTCCTGTTGCAATTTAAAAGTTATTTATTCTCCTAATAAGGCTAACCCCACCAGTGTTCATCTCACTACAACACAATATGAAATTACAACTTCATCTGTGGTTCCTGTATTCTGTACCTGTCCTGCCCTCAAGAGTATAAGCATCATATGGACAGAGACCTTGTCTGTGCCCAGCACTGGACCTGGCACAATATACAAACTCTACTAAATATTTGTTTAAAAGAAAGGAGAACTAAAAATTGTAAAACCTTACGTAAAACAAACCTGCAGTCTGACAAATATGAGATAAATTCCTTTTTATCAAGGAAGAACAGAATAAACTGCAAACTTGACTGTTCTCCTAGCTAAGAAGAAAGATGACAAATTCTAAAGCAAAGTTACAAAATGAGGCTTTCAATGCAGCCATTCACTGAAGTATCAGGATCTCTGCTGCTGACTGTATACATGATTCATCATTTACCAAAAGGATATGAAGAAGGTAATTAGAAAGATAGAAAACAAAGCTCAGAGGCTGGGCACAGTGGCTCACGCCTGTAATCCCAGCACTTTGGAAGGCCGAGGTAGGCGGATTACCTGAGGTCAGGAGTTCAAGACCAGCCTGGCCAACATGGCGAAACCCCATCTCTACTAAAAATACAAAAATTACCTGCTGTTGTGGCAGGCACCAGTAATCCCAGGTACTTGCGAGGCTGAGGCAGGAGAATCGCTTGCCCCTGGGAGGTGGAGGCTGCAGTGAGCCAAGATGGCACCACTGCACTCCAGCCTGAGTGACAGAGAGAGACTTTGTCTCAAAAAAAAAAAAAAAGTGTCTTGTTCCAACTTGAGAATGAGGACAAATTTTCAGTTTTAACATTTAAATTAAAAGAATTAATGTGTATTATCCTCTCCTTCCTTCAAAAAGCTTTAGACTTTATCATCACATTCACTGGGAAGGGTTCAGTTGACTATTATGCCACAGTAACTGTATTCACTAAATGAATATACATGTTTCTTCAGTGGCAAGGAGAAAAAGAGCACAAAAACGGTTATAAATTTAGAGATATAAAAAATAAACATAATGATAACTCTCCTGAGAGTACATCAGACATCATTAAGAGACCAATTTGAACAAACTGACTCTAAAAAGATGTACGGGAAAACTGGGGAAATTTGAACACTAATGAGATATTAGATTAAATAATTATTGAAAAAAGATATAATAAAGATGGTATTATGTAGGAAAGAGTGTATGTGTGCACATTCAGAAAGAGGGAGGCAGAGACAGTCCAAAATTATCTCTTAGAGATTCATACTGAAATATTTACAGATGAAATCATATGAAGTCAGGTATTCGCTTTTAAATAATCCTGTAAGGTGGGGACAGGCAGGACTAAAATGTAAAGTATATAGGAAAAAAATAACATTGGCCTTATGGATATTTTTAAAATAACTCGCTTAAAAGAAAAAAGATCAGATAGAAAAGTCACCTTCTAATTCAACATTTATTTAAAAATAAATTTACTTGCATGTAGGACAAAGGCAGGATTGCCCAAAAAAAAAAAGAGTTAACCCAAGAGTATAATTAGACACTCTAATTGATTTTCAATGTGTAAAACATACTGCAGTATTTTTTAAGTTATGTTTCTCTACAAGATAAAACTTGATTCACCAAAAAAAAGGAATATTTAAATCAAACTTGTGAAATTCATGACCCATCTCTCAGTTGTAAAATTCTCCAGACTAGATGACAGAAAAGCTTCCTTTTAATTACTCAGTCTACAATGTTTTCCTTATTTACTTAAAAACACAAAAAGTAGAATTCCATCATAATTTCAGAATAAAAATATAAAAAACACGATTTAAGAAAAAATATATTAAGAATCAGATGGAAATTATTTCTTACAGCAGCAATTCCCACATAGTTTCGTTTCAAGACTCTTTATACTCTTAAAAAATTTATTGAGGACTCCAGGCCAGGCGCGTTGGCTCACGCCCGTAATCTTGGCACTTTGGGAGGCCGAGGCAGGTGGATCATGAGGTCAGGAGATCAAGACCATGCTGGCTAACACAGTGAAACCCCGTCTCTACTAAAAATACAAAAAAATTAGCCAGGTGTGGTGGCAGGCATCTGTAGTCCCAGCTACTTGGGAGGCTAAGGTAGAAGAAAGGCATGAACCCAAGAGGCAGAGCTTGCAGTAAGCTGAGATCGCACCACTACACTCCAGTCTGGGCGACAGAGCGAGACTCTGTCTCAAAAAAAAAAAAAAAATCTATTGAGCACTCCAAAGAGGTTTTGTTTATGTGAGTTATATGTATCACTATTTCCACTAGAAATTAAAACTAAGAGATTTTTACATCTTTTCTATTTCATTTAAAATAACAACAAACCCATTATATTTAACATAAATATTTTTATGAAAACAGTATTTTCAAAAGAAAAAACTAAGAATGATCCGGTTTATATCATTTCTGGGTCTACCTCTATTAATTGAGGTTTCCCTCTTATTATGGGATGTATTTTCTTAGTTCTTTACATGTTAGGCAATTAGAAAAAAGTAGCTTCATTGAAAAGGGAAGGATAATTTTTTTCGTTTCATATGAATGTTTCACTCATTTAACTACCACTTTTTAGTGGTTTTGCAATAAGATACAATGATTTCACCTTACATCTCAAATATTTTATATTATTCATCTTTATATATTTTAGAATACTCAAACATCAGTAAATATAACAATATAGGCCGGGCATGGTGGCTCAAGCCTGTAATCCCAGCACTTTGGGAGGCCGAGACGGGTGGATCACGAGGTCAGGAGATTGAGACCATCCTGGCTAACACGGTGAAACCCCGTCTCTACTAAAAAATACAAAAAGTTAGCCGGGCGAGGTGGCGGGCGCCTGTAGTCCTAGCTACTCAGGAGGCTGAGGCAGGAGAATGGCGTAAACCCGGGAGGCGGAGCTTGCAGTGAGCTGAGATCCGGCCACTGCACTCCAGCCCGGGCGACAGAGAAAGACTCTGTCTCAAAAAAAAAAAAATATATATATATATATATATAAAACAATATAAACATGCAAACTGTAAACTAAGTATTAATGAATACTTAGAGCCATATGGTAACTACTTAAAGTTCATTTCTTATCTTAACATTCATCTGAAAAATGAACAAACTCATGCCTTTTACTGATACAGAAGTAAAGCAAAGGGTGGTGAGAAATTTTCCCACACCATAAAAAGCAAAATTGTGTTTGAGTTTCATTTCTTTCTTCCACTTACAATGTTCCTATATTAAAAAAATAAGAGGTTTTTAAAGCCAACAATAACAGTGACAATAATTGTTTCTACTTTAACTAAAAGGAAATGGCTATTTTGACTGAACATAAAAGTAATCTATTTTTCCTTAATGTCTATAGCTTTTATGTCATCAGTTGATTGCATAATTAGCCTTAATACAAATGTATCTTATCAGTTCACTTTTCCATGACAGCCCTGTAATTTGAGGGGGAAAAAACCAGATTTTTAAACTTACTGTTTTAGTGCCATGCTTCAGCGTTATCTCATGCGAGTCAGGAATCTTGTGAACAGGATTCTGAAACAAGAAAACCCCATGACATTAACGGTAAAATAACATATTTGTGGGGAACTACATACCACATTCACAGGAAATACAATTTTTTTAAATTGTATTACTGGCTTTTAAACACAAAGCTTAAAAAAAACCAGCAAAAAAGTGTGAGGGTATCTTTTTTCTACACTTCTAGATACACTACAATGGATCTCTGATGATAAATTGATTTTAAATACCTAAAAGGATAAACCTAAGAAACTCATTAGGTTCTATAAAATTATCTCTTATTGTCAATATAAATTGAAATTTTAATTTAATCCAAATGTAAAAATAAATCAGTAGTTGTTAATAGTATAATTCATAAAGAAAAATTAGAAACTTACTTTTCCTTCAAATCACAGCTTATCAAGAGGAGCGAAAAGGTCAATATCAGGCTGGGCACGGTGACTCACGCCTGTAATCCCAGCACTTTGGAGGCCAAGGCGGGCAGATCACCTGAGGTCAGGAGTTCGAGACCAGCCTGACCAACATAGTGAAACCCTGTTTCTACTAAAAATTAGCTGGGCACGGTGGCACATGCCTGTAGTCCCAGCTACTCAAGAAGCTGAGGCAGGAGAATTACTTGAACCCCGAAGGCGGAGGTTGCAGTGAGCCGAGATCGCACACTGCACTCCAGCCTGGGCAACAGAGTAAGATTCCATCTCAAAAAAAAAAAAAAAAACAACAGGTCTATATCAAAATATCTGGAAAAACTTAAAAGATTCTCCATTTGCTTTAAGTGTACTCTGATATTTTAGGTAAACAAACCATGTAACTTTGGCATAAATTTCAAAATTCTGTATTATAAAAATCAAACAGAATCTAACAAACTTAAGGGAAAGAATAGACTAAATCATCATTATTCACTGCAACTGGCATTTTTAAATGCCCTAACAATTATGAGTGCTGATAAATTTTAAAACACTGATGCCAAGGTAATAAACAATAGAATACAACCATATTTTACATTAATATTTGGTTATGTCTTACTAAAATACAATTATTTTTCTGTCTTACTATGCCTACAGAAAAATCTCACAAAGAGCAAACCACCACAAACTGAAAGAAATTAATAAAGGCTATTTTATTAATTTCTGCTTACCATACTTTAATATCAAAAGTATTTTAAGCATACTGTAACCTATGTATAAAATAATAATTACAGATTTTCCTAAAAAATAATCAATAAGGTCAACATCGAAAATTTTTAAAGTTCTCTATTTACCTATTCTGGGACATACCTTAAAGTGTTAAGTACTTAATTTCTAACAAACAACAAAACTTTCACAGGGTAACTATATACCTTTTAACCCTTCAAAGTTAAAAAGAAAATTGTTCAAAAATGGTAAAAATAAGAAACTCCAAGTCATTCACTGATTCATTGGTTCGATAAGCATTTACTGAAGTGAGATTATACCAGTCATTAGGTGGCAGCAGACATGGTCTCTTCTCATCCCTTCCACACAAGAAGCATATGGTCTAACAGGGAGATATCAATGACTCTACTTCAGTATAATGAATGCTATGATAGACAGCAGTACGGGCAGAATAACTGAGGGACAGTAAAGAGGAATGCATAAATCAGACATAAGAGGTTACAGTGATCATTTAAATCAGAGGTTTCATTGTTTATTCAAGTCTCATTACTCAAGAGCAGGCTAATCCTACTATAATTATATGTCCATTACAAATTTAAGAATCATCTTACCACCTACTTAATTAAACATGTGACCTAACAGCTCTTTCTTTTATATCTTCAGTCTTTACCCTGCTATAGCTCTTTCTCTTCAACATATAAACAAAGTATTAGTACTTCCCATATTAAAAAAAAAAAAACAAAAACTAAAAGACTACTGACTTCCCCTAAAATTTATTGCTCAATCGTTACTTTTTCCTCTGCAATCCAGCTTTTTCAAACTATGGCTTCACTTAGTGTCCCCGCTTTCTTTCACCCTCTACCTCAGCTTTGGCATTTATCATTTTATTCCTGATTCTTAGCACAGTTCTTGGCACATAAGAGGCTCTCAGTAAATAGTTCTAAATGAACAAACAAGTCACTATAAATCTCTCTGCACACTTTACAGAACTTAATCTATATATGTGAACTTTCAACAGCATGGTAACTATTTATCTCCTCCATCTTGAAACTGTCCTTTGCTAGGAGGAAACAGCCTGCAGAAAAAGCCAGAAACGCTAGTTTTTTAAACTAGCAATGCCATTAATTAACCATGTGATGATTTGAGCAAAGTTATGACTCAGTTTCTTCATTTGCAAACTACGAATAATAGCACCTGCCCCACAGGTTACAGTGAAGTACGTGGTTTCAAATTCCTAACACAGTTTGGCACATGGTAGAGCTCAATAAATGACAGTCACTATTTATTCCAAGGCTTACCTCCTATATTGGTCAAGTCATCTTAGCGTTTTTCCAGGCTTCTTTTCCTCTTTACCTGGCTAATTTCTACTCATCCTTCAAATCTCAATTCAGTTGTGACCAGCTCTCAAAGCACTTCTCAACATTTCAAACTCTGGGTTAAATGACCCTCTTATGCATTTCTATGACATTTCCTTACTTTAATCACAGAACTTATCACAATACATTGTAATTTTTTACCTTTCTCCCCCACCACCACCCCCTTACCAAACTGCAAAATATAAGCTTCTCAAAGACTACATCTATTTATCATCTCTGGATCCACTATGCACAAAAAAGCTGGTATATGGCAGACATACGTATACACACAAGAGGTTTTAGAAATGAATAAATCACCCACTGTCTACCTTGTTCATCACATAAGATTGTAATTTTTAATTAACTCTCAAATTTTAGAGTAATGATTATGTCCACAAAGAAAAGCAGGTGCTATCACATCAGGCCAGTCTGGTAAGTGAGAGGCAAGAAATAACTGAAGATTTTCAAAAGCTGAAAACCTTTTAAGACCAAATTATTATATCCCAGACTAAAAGCAGATTGAAGATTGCAACAATACAGAAATAAAGGTAGTTTTGTTTTAGATTGTCAAGACACAGTTGGGGAATTTGCAGTTTATTTCAAGACAAAGACATTACTGTATTGTTTAGTATATTGTGGAAAGTGCTGCACATATCTCTTTCAGAGATATCAATATTCGAACACAAATTCCAAAACAATTTAAAGGTCAAATTCTGGACTATTTCTACACTGAATAATCTGAATCACTACTCCCTTTGCAGCTGGCCACATTTGAACACAATGAAAGCATCTATAAGTGCTAAATATTCTTGCAAGAACCAAGATAATACTTGAAATGTTCTACTTACAGAAGAATCTATCATAGTTTATACCTCATTTCATAACTAATTACTTTTTCATCACTCAGCAAATAGAAATACTGTCACCAAAAAGATAGGATGAAAATTATTTCATTTATTTCAATGCAGAATGTGCCTATATATAGACAATTTCTAACATTTAAAAAAAATTTACAAGAACACACAACTTAGTATTTATATTAGGAGTGAATTAAACATTTAAATAAATGTTTACATTTAAAATCAAAGTTTTACTGGAAGTCATGCATGGCATAACTCATAAAAATCCCATATAATTGGCACAGCTAAATCATCTAAAATAGTAGCAATCCATCTTTTGGTAGCGTATCACTTGATGGTGACTGTTCTTTTTCCAGAACTTTTACTAATGACTTTTTTAAATACAGCTTAGTGTGAAATTTGCTGTAACAGTAAAATATTTTCAAGATTTTCCTGCCAAGGAACATCATAAACTATTTGACTTCAATGGAGTAATTTATTACCAGAATTCATAACAAGAGCTACAGTCCTAATGGAAGAGAGGAAAATACACCATTTTTTGTTTTGGCTTAATTCTGAAAACGAACCAAAGGATTATTTCCCAGGCTCTGCAGTCTACCCCCAATAACAACGATGGCAAATATATCTAAAATAATATGAGCATTTCTATCTGATGAGCATTTCTACCCGAACATCCTTACAGAGATTTCAGATGACTTACAAATCAGAAACAACCCTTCTAGGCTAAGGTCACATACAACTATAAGCCATAATAAAACCTCTACCCAAAAACAAAGATCTGCCACAAAGTTGCTGGGTGCTGGGGGAAGAGAGTAAGGACTGCCAAAAAGAAGCTTGAAAATGAGTGCCATTTTCTCGCAGAAATCATTTAAGTACAATTACCAGTGCAGGCAACCAGAATTAAAGTCTATTCTAGTGCAATTATGGAGATCTAATAACACTAACTTAACATTAATTCATTTCTTCATTGATATGGTTCGGCTGTGTCCCCACCCAAAATCTCATCTTGAATTGTAATCCCTGCATTCCCAGGACCAGGTGGAGGTACTTGGATCATGGGAGCAGTTTCCCCATGCTGTTCTCCTGAGAGTGAGTGAGTCTCACAAGATCTGATGGTTTTATAGCATTTGATATTTCTCCTGCTTGCATGTCGCACTCTGTATTGCCACCCAGGTGCCTGTTTCTCCTTTGCCTTCTACCATGATTACAAGCATCCTGAGGCCTCCCCAGAAATGTGAAACTGTGAGTCAATTAAATCTCTTTCCTTTATAAATTATCCAGTCTTGTGTATTTCTTCATAGCAGTGTGAGAATGAACTAATACCTTCATTTACTCACTAATTAAACATTCACTTAACAAACATTTATTATTTAATTACATACCACACACTGGGTACCACAGTTAGATTAATGATAAAAGAACTACTAATAAAGACTCTGCTTACACAGAACTGTCAGTCCAGAAAAACAAAATAAGACAGGTAAACAAATGGGCAAATGAAAATGTTTCCGTTGCTGTAACAGGAGTATACACAGGGTTCAGTGCTCAATTCCATTCTACCTAAGAAAGTAGGTGGTTAGAAAAGAGATTTCTGGTATCTTTCAAAAAAACAGAGGTTCTCTAGATGAATATGAAGAACATCTAGGAGAGAATAATACAAATCTTGACAC